GGATATTATAGATCTCGTCATCCTCTACAAGAAAGATCTGATGCAATTTTCCCGTATCTCCAACGGTTTGGGAGTTATTGGCCAAAAACGAAAATTTGGAAGAAATTGAAGGGGTACCCCTTGGAAAAATCTCGGAAAAATCGAAAATTTTTTTTTGTTGTTTATTATTACCATTGTTCTTCCGACGTCTGATTTCTTTTTAAAAAATGCGTTTTTAAAGTGCATAAACTTTTGGGATTGATTGTATAGCCAATACATCCTTAAGTAAAAAGTAGCAATCGAACTTCTCACGTACTGATTATTTCAGTAATTTATCACATTATTTGAGCTTTATGGACATAAATAAACATCGGCAAATAATAATGGCATGTATAAAATTAATCAATACATATTGAAATGATGCAATCAGTAATATGTATTTAATGTGTACTTGATAAACAATTTGCATGATAACAGATATGTTTATGTATAAATTCCTGTAGATTTATTGATGAAGTTACAGATTATAGATTTTGGAATATTTCTATCACAGTATAAACTTGTGATATTTATTAAAAATTGACTGACTATATGTTAGATTCGGTTTAATTGAAACTTTTTCATACTACCGTAAGTATTTATTACGAAATGAAATTATACTGCAAAGTACAGACTATCAGTTCTTAACAATGTTCGAATTTCAAATATCGCAAATCTTGCGTTACCGTCCATAAAGTAAGTATTTATTACGAAATGAAATTATACTGCAAAGTACAGACTATCAGTTCTTAACAATGTTCGAATTTCAAATATCGCAAATCTTGCGTTACCGTTCATAAATTATCGTGGTAAACGAATGGGTATCGGGTAAAAGAATATAAATAAGTAAGATAAGTGATATTTTAAGGACGACGCAGTGGATATAATATACTCGGGAAGCATGCAACGTATAAGTATTATCCGTGTTTAAAATTTATTTATTCTCGTGCAGTCGCAGACGATTCGATAAAATATTATTCACGGCGATAGAGCGGATATAATCTCGACCAAAGTAGCGGCGGTTTGCGCGCAATAAATGATACTTTATCATAACTGCGCGCAATTCGGCCAAATAAATTCCCTGAAATATTTTCCACTTGTTATGTACCCGGAACGGTGAACTCGCATTAAAGATAAAGTTTCTTTCTCGCTCGATTCATTTTATATAATACAATAGTATAG